TTTTCATAGTTTCTTTTTTATACGACAAATCATTATAATTTATTTATTAATCCACAATTCAATCATATCATATACACATTATATTATTATAAACGAGTTGAAGAAAACCTTTTTTTTATAGACATCATCAAGCAAATGTATGGAATTTTGTAATTTTTCCACATCGCCAACCATGTATTTTTTTCTTCACTATTTTTCTCTCATTCTTGGTCACGAACTGTATAGGAAAATCTTCACCATAGCAACACTCCGTGCACGGAATATTCATGCATCTATGCAATGTTCAACGTCGACGATAAAAAAAAAACTACACGAATATCGTAGAAAAAATGCAGCAATTGTATTCGATTTTCTGACGACAAATAAATCGGTCTATGATCTTGAATTTTTCGATGAAAGAATAATCAGTTAACAGGTCTAAAAAAGAACTAGATACGATTTTTCTGTAATCGCATGTAAGAATTTGAAGAAGGCGATAATCAAAGTAGAACACCTTCCAGCCTCAGCTCAATAAAATTCTTCGAATTTTATTAAAATGAGCGATGAGTGGAAAATTTCCTTATCAATGATTCTGTTTATTCACTTGCATAGTCAAACAAAGTTAAATACACGTGTATTTACTCAGCATGCTGTACGATGGGCGCTCATCATACTTCAACGCACATCAATTTATAACTTAGATTCTATGTAGCGTTTTCTAACAGAAACGCTTTCTTTTTTTCTTTTTTTTGGAAAAAAATCTCGAATCATTTATTTTCTTTCTTGAATGTGATGCACTTTATATACAATGTATACATATACGAATGAATTTTGTCAAGAGAAACATGTGCTCTTTTTCCAAGCCGTACGGCATGAAATATTGAATAAATCTATTATTTATTTTGGGTCATTTTAAAATTGATGAAGCAACAATTTGTTACGCGAAAAGAATTACAAAAAATACGGAAATTTTAGCGTATGTATTGGTAAAATGGAATTTAGAATATTACAATAATACACTTATTTTAAAAGTGTTTACTTGCATTCAGCTCGTGTGACCGATATCTAGCACTCAGTGTGTTATCCAAAAAAATGGACATTCTTTCGATGCTTTGAATTCGGTCGAAAAATATTTGTGGTAATTTGTGAAAACCAGAGATTGTCAGAAATAAAAGCCATTTTTATTTCCAGCGTTGGAATAATTTTGATGGAATTCTCGTTTAAATAGATTCGCATAGGTTTGAAGCAGATTTAAAAAAAAGGAAATGGACGCCGTGCAATTTTAGGTATTTTGAGCCCATTTGACTACATTCCTTTTAATGGTATTTTACCACTTTATCTGTATAAAGTTTCTATTTTGTTTTGTGATTATGGGTGTAATCAAAATTGTGAAGTGTATATATTGGGTTGGTGAATAAGTCTTGATCCTCTTTCTCAAAAAGTGTCTTTGGAGCCCACGTTAGCACTACATTGCAGACAGAGAATTTTTGAAAATGTGAGTTTTGCTTAAGAGAAATTGCGAAAAAAAAATTTTTGATTTAAAAATGCCATGTCTTACAAACTTGTAATAAAATATAAACTCTAAAGAAAAAAGTTCAAAATCAAGATGAAATTTTCGTACGAAAATAAAAAATAAAGAAAAAGACCAAACAAAAACAAAAGCAGCAATAGCTTAGCTTCGTAAGTGAACGTTCACTACAAACCTAAATGGTTATGTTGGAGGTGTTGAAGTTTATGGCGAGGTGCTACCAGTTGTGTCCTCGCACAATTTAATCGTCAACTTGAATCAAAATCAGGTGAGACAAATCTTTAACGGTCCACCAAAAAGTAAAAGACACTCATCAGAAAATGTTCATATATCCACCATATAGTTCGGACCTTACACTTTCCAATACCATTTGTTTGGGTCTCTGTGGAACTCCAGCTCTAGCTAGAATAAATTTGACATAAAGAGAAATCTTCGAAGTTCCATACGCGGTGGAATAATGTAATTAGCCATAAAATGGCCGAAGGTTTTATGAAAAAAGTCTCAATACTTATTTACCGACCCAATATGTATATTCAACGAATCAAGTGCAATGATACGAAAACTTCCTGAGGCATGATAAATTTCAATTATAACCGGGATTTTCGCAAAATACTTTCTGACTTGATTATGTGGTGTTATTATCCATGTTAAACCGTATACGTGTGTAAATGCGATGAAATTCCGTCATTCATATAAACGCATGTATGCAACCGCAACAACAAAAACAACGACTAGAATAACAATGACATTTTCAGTGGCTGCAACAGTAACGGCAAAAGGAGCAGCAGCAGCGTGCACCTTCATTGGAAAATAAATAAACAAACCAATATCACTTTATTTAAACTGGTTACACACAGAGAGAGTTCAGCCAATACGCATTGCTTCAATCGAAAATACTTTAAAACACCTAAAGCTTTTCCTGAATCGATTTGTATGAACGTATTTCGTACTTTGATCTTTGGCAAATAATCATCAATAGGCATTGTCTGCATGTGCATTTTATATTCTGTTAATGAGTTCAAAAAGAACGTATGTTTTTTTTTTCATATCATTTTCTTTTCTTTTTCTTTTCAATCATAGAATGTGCGATGAAATCGATGAAAATTTTACCAACAACTATCGTTTGGCTTCGGTTAAATTGGATAACATAACAAATTCCATAACCGTGTTTAATACACCTATGAAAACCTAGGGGCTTTCATCATTCGTTCATACAAATTTATACACAATATTCACGTCCTATTCATCATATATACGATTAAAATTTCCCGCCTATACCAGTGAATAAGGTGTATTTTAAACTGCAGTGTACACACACACAGTATAGCTACACAGAATCGAAGAAGATCCGCACAAAAGAGAATGAAAAAATATGCCATAGACGAAATATACACGAAATATACACCAAATATATGCAGTTATGCACATTTATTTGCGCGTATTACAGATGATTTTGCAATATAGTTCACTATTTACAGTATAAATCGTATACATTTGAAGATAAAAGCCCCTAGATGAAAACACTAGCTATGCACAATTTTTGGCGGAAAATCGAGTGTTGAAAGAAAACATACGTTCGTATTGAACTCACTAGTAGATATCAATATCCACGATGTTTTTGTGAAAATAACAACTCACAATAACATTGTACGACGTACAACAATGGTAGACCAAACAATTTTAACAGAATTTTCCAAATCGTACACACATATTATGCGCCGGAAATTAAAAGTGATTTTCACGAATACATCAAACAGTCGTACACAAGAAATTAAGAAGTTTATTTTGATGATGAAAACCAAAATGTATGCTTAGAAATGTATTTTATAGTCGTTGTGTTTACGCGCTCATTCTCCAAATAACTATTATAAATTCAATTTAACTGCTACAGTCAAGTGTATGTTATAAAATCAACATTGCATTTCCACGACAGAAAAAAAAGGTTTCTCTCGGCTGATTTCGTTTATTTCATGCCATCAAATGTTATATTTCTGGTACAGTACAAAGAGTTTGATCAACTTCACTTGACAAAAAAAAAATTATGATATTTTATGAAAAAAAATCACGCAACATCATTTTACCAATCCAATATCAATCATTTTTTTTCTGTGCGGTGAAATTGAAATAAACCCACATGTTTGTGCACGTATAGTAATCGAGATGGAACACTTAAATCTCACTTAATTTTTGTTTGTGGATGATATAAGTTACTTGGAAATCAAGGTTTAAAATCATCACTTTAAATATCATCGACTGACATATTTGCGATATATTTTTATAGTTCAATTTTTCATATTCAGAAATAACCAAGAAGAGTGAGAAATATTAACGAATGATAAGATTTTAAGATATATAGCACAACTCAAAACATTTTTTTCAAGAACTTTTTCCATTTTAAATAAATAATATGTTTGGCATTTATCCCGTACAAATAAGAAGATTATGAAATCGGTTGTGTTATGTCGAAGAAAAATCGTGATGATTTGAAGTTAAAAGATCTTAAGTCTTTATCTCCTGATACAGATACGAGCGGAGTTTAAGTAAATATTGACCAAATATGCTATAATGCTGGGATTGAGATGATATCAACTTAAGTTCATGTAGCAGATAAGTTAAATTTCGTTATATTTGCATATAGATCAAATTAATTAATCTTTTGGAGCCAAAAGCAACTCTATACCGTGACCAGCATCAATTTTTTCCATTATGAAGTAATTTTTGGCAGAAAGTCATGCATTTTTCCACAGGAGGTGCATAATTAGCCTACGCCAAGTATATATAGAATTTGTTATTGCGTAACCGTATCAGTAACTAAAACAGGTGTGTAACTCTCTAGTTAACCGTTAGGTATATACTTGCTTTGTGCATATCCAAATTCAATCAATTCTGCATAAGTGATAAAAATTGATTCAATATTTTATTCATAAAATTTAAATGGTAGAGTGATTTTGGGCCTAGGCTTACACCAGAGAATTTCTCAGTTAACTGCAACATAAAAATAAAATAATTATAAAAATTTTCGTAAAAATCAGTTTAATTTTAAAACTACAAGTGCTCAAAATGTTTGCTGGGGCGAAAACTTCCGCTAATTTACACCTTTGTTCAATATGTTACAAATTGAACATTTTTATTCCAAGAACAATGTTATTCATAAGTAATTAATATGTAAACAAATAAGTAAACCAATAAATAAATAAAATGTTAAACTAGAAAAATCGAATTAACAACTTACCTAAGCGAAAAAAAAATGTCAACGATAAAAGGAGAGTACATGTATCATCATAAAACACATTATATCAATTATCGCTACATGCAAATTAAACTTTAAATAATTAAACGCCTCCAATACACTCGATTGTAAAATTCAAATACGAATTAACGTTGCATATCGATAACACAGCGTATTTGATATGATGCAAGCGCTTTCTACCGGCTTAAATGTCAAACATTACTCCTGCTTGGAGAATCAGCCGTGTTGTGCATGTTTGACAGCTGAACATATATACGGAACAGTCGACGTCATTATAAATATGGAAAAGAAGTGAGAGAAAAAAAAATTGTGTCGGCTCGCAGCGAAAAAAAAAATAAACCTATTGAATTTATAAAGAAATAGTCCGTCAATCGATTGTATTCAAACGAAGTCAAAAAAAAAAAAACAGTGAGTAATATATGGCAGTGCAATAAATTCGAATAAATATTTCATCTATTGTGTGATAAGTTTGTAAGCAATTTAGTACATAACCCATAAAATACAGGAGACAATTAAAAAAATGGATAATTTGAATTTAACTTAAATAAAATAATTTCGTGTTTTGCACCGACTTGTCTGCATATGTCAATGTAATCCAATGAGACTCTTTAGATTGAATAGAGCATATCCGACATAAAATGAATAAAAAGAAGAAGATATAGATTTGGTGTCAGACAGACACAAGGATAAAAAAATGTTTTAATACGAAATTCAATCAGAACGGATGGATATACGTAAAATTGTTCGTAAACAAATGGACAAAGTGAAAAATAAGAAGTGCCTCAAATTGCAATGAATGAATGAAATGGATGTATTCAAAAAAACGAATGAGAACAATTTATTTCATTGATTTTATGCTTTGTAGTTTAACAAGTTCGGTTATGCAATTTTATGCATTGCCAAAGAGCCAAAATATTGAAAAACCGCAACAATTGATTTTTTTTGCACTCTTCAATCCGGAATGACAATTTTAATGTTTGAGTATTTTGATCGAAATCGATGCACACATTGTCAAATTACACAATTTTACATGGGAAGTCGTTATCATCATAGTTGTAAAGGAAATTGACAACAACAAGATTTGCACAAAAAAATAACTGACTGGAGAAATGTATAGAATGAATTTTTGAGGAAAAAAAATTGCGTAATCTTTTTGTCGTTATTTTTGTTGTTTTCGTATCTGGTTTATAACGTGAAACTCTATGTACATCATTCTCAGTTCACGCACGTCAAACGTACCTATATATATATAATATACGCGCTATATAGACCTCACATAGTATACTTGAGTTGAGTGAGTGATATTAAGATCATATGCCTCACATGTCATTTTGGAAGTGTGCATGGAAAATGAAATAGATGTAAAAAAAATAGTACATTTTTGGGTGCACTTTGCGCAAATCACTGAAAAGCAATATCAAATGATTTTTCGATATTTTCTTCGTTGAAATAAAATAAAATCAGCAAAGAAAAAATTGTATCTTACTTATTTATTGAAAACATTCAATCACCCACATTCGTTTGCCATAGATTCACTTAAAATTAGTCTGTCGAGAGTACTATTGAATCTTAATTGCAGCAGTAGTCGTAAACTTATGATACAATACATATAAAAACATATATATATATATATATTTGTAGACTTGAGCCACGAGCTCAGGCCCAGACTATGAAAAGAACTCAGCGAAAATAAGTAGAAATTCGAATGTACTGTACCTCCTAAATCAGATATGACAATAAATTAGTTTCGCCGCAGTTTTGATATCGAATACATTATTTTATATTCGCTCGAAAATAAGAGCATCTTTATCAAATTCTAAGATCAGTTTTACGACCAAAAAATCCTTCTCGTAGTTTGATTCTAATTTTTTTTTCGACGAAAGTCTTTAAATGGTAAAATAATTAGTTTAAAATTGATTCGTTTTTTTTCAAGTCATTTCTCTCTTATAGGATATAGAAAAGTTTTTTTTATAACTTCTTTGCTATTGAAGAGATTACCTTATTACCCGTCAGAACAAAAATAAGATTTTTTTGGTAATTTTTTTTTTTTTTGGCTTAAAATATTAAATATTTATCATTTATATACAATGGATCCAAATCACATGCTATTATAATAGCATAACGACGATATAAAATTACATTAGCTTTCGATGTTACCATTTTGAAATGGCTCAGTCCTCACAATATGAGACAAAACCTAGTTAAAATTTCATAACTTTGTGATTCACTCAATGTTGAACATAAAATTGAGAACTAGTACGGTTCGGTATATACATGCTATAGGTAAATATTGAATTTGCCACACGTATAGTGAGAATTTTCAATTTAAAATATCACCAAGTTTTGAACAAGACTATCGACGAAGTGTTTCTACGTAAACAAACAAATACTGTATAGTAATATGTATAGCACACGCACACAATAGCTACATAACATACGTAATTATAATAGATTTTATTCCAAATTGTACTAATTTGGTTTGGTTAGTAGCTTTTCACGTTACTAACGTTATTGTTATTATCATTATTATTTTGTCTCTTTCCACATCTCTCAATCATGTGATTCAAATTCAAAATTGTCAACTGGACAACGTTGTTTTTTTACTTCATTTCTTCGTCTTTATCGTTTCATCGAAAAGCAAATAAAACAAGTGCAACTGTACGACCAATATTCTAAATGAATGGGTTCGATTGATTTGAAAAACAAAAAAAAAAAATATGCAGCAACAACAACACAACGACATATAGTAGAGCACAATGTAGCATACAACATACAATGAGGCACATCCATTAAATGTGTCCAATCAACCACGACTACAATACATTTGATAGTATACAAAATTATTAATACTTTTCTAGTATCTGTATTATTAAATGCCATAAGCGTTCCGATGAAAATTCTAATAATTTCATAATATCCATGAGAACGAGTTACAGCAAACAGCTGGGCACTGAAGAACCCATTATATATGTATATAATTTTAATTGATAACATTTAAACGCATTTCATTCTTTGTCTCCTGCCTTCCTTCATATAACATAAGAAAAAAAAATCGACTAATTTAAATGATAAATAATTGATGAATTCTTTGCATTCATTCTCAAAGCATAGTATTTTATTCAATAATTTAAAATATGTCTGATAAAGTAATTTACTCATAACTTAAAAATCATCTATTTTTCAGATTGATCGACTTATGTGTGCGTAAAACAAATAATCGAGTGGAAAAAAAATCGTTTGAATTATTAGAACAAAAAAAACTGAATTGCGTTCGTAAAAGCAAACATGTCTACAACAAATGCTGCAAACTCATCATCATCAGCAGGCACTCTATCACCGTCTGCTAGTAATTCAAACACCACAGCCATTGCTTCCGCGACAACACCAGCAGTATCAGTTGCACCATCATCGAGTACTATTCCAACTGTAGCTCTCCTGTTCCAATTAAATTAATATTTCTTCTTCTTCTATTTTTTTTTCACAAAAGAACCCGACAAAAATTTGAACATAATGCACCACACCAAAATTATAAATCACTTTTATCTTTTGCATTACATTCGAACCAATTTTTATTTTAAAACTTAAAAGCATATGCACTTCAGTTTGCGCGTGCATAAAAAAAGAGAGATATATGATGCGGTTTATTATATAAATGATTTTGTCGGTGGTTCTTTCATTCTAAACTATTAGCATCGATATGAATTTGTTGGTTGAAGCGTATGTAGGTACAGAGCCGAAATCAATATCAAACTGTTTTCATGATGTTCATCTGATGTTCATCGTTACATTTTGATGTGTGACATTTGTAAAAGCTACTTATTTTTCAATAGAAGAATTCAGTTCGCTCATTGACTGTTTCATCGGTTTTTTTTTCTATTTTCACGTCGTTTTCATGTTGCTTGTATCGAAATTGAAAGCATTTCTGTGTTTGTATTTTTTTTTTTCGTGTTTAACTTAGAATCTGGTTAATATCATCAAATGACAGCTCATGGACAGCATCAATATATGCATTTCGACCTGTCTACATATGTACACTAAGCTTAAATCAATGAACACTCTTCGATATAATGTGTATGAACGATAAAAATGCATGCACATCACTATATACAATTTATTTTCATAAATTCACCATTTATTTTTTATGTAAATCCATTTTAATAACTTTTTACCGCGAAATATTTTCGAAAAACATTCATTGATTTTAGTTCAAATATTCATAACAAAAGTATAAACGCAAATAAATAAAAATAAACACCCCGAGAGGAGAATAAATCAAGCGAATATAAAATAAAATGTTCAGTTTGGTATTGGCAATGCTTGAATTCGATTTATGTTGTTTTCAGAGTTCAGCATCAACATCACAATGGCCCAACAAAATGGATGATTATGAATTGCGTGAGGTAATTGGAGTTGGTGCAACGGCTGTTGTACATGCTGCTTACTGTATTCCACGCAAGGAAAAATGTGCAATAAAACGTATCAATTTGGAAAAGTGGAACACATCAATGGAGGAACTATTAAAAGAAATCCAAGCAATGCAGTCGTGCAGCCATGAAAATGTCGTTACATACCATACAAGCTTTGTTGTAAAAGACGAACTGTGGCTGGTATTGCGTTTACTTGAAGGTGGCAGTCTATTAGATATCATTAAGCATAAGATGCGAACGACAAATTGCAAGCACGGTGTGTTTGATGAGGCAACTATTGCAACTGTTCTTAAAGAGGTTTTAAAGGGTTTGGAGTACTTTCATAGCAATGGACAAATTCATCGTGATATAAAAGCTGGCAACATTTTATTGGGCGAAGATGGTACCATTCAAATAGCCGATTTTGGTGTGAGCGCATGGTTGGCCACTGGACGCGATATGTCACGACAAAAAGTGCGACACACATTTGTTGGCACTCCATGTTGGATGGTAAGTGATTTAAAAATGAAATGAAAATTAATTTGCCACTTGCCAATCCGGTCATAGTAATTTCTATTTGATTTGAAATAAGTGCGAGTAAATGGTATGCACGCAATACGAGGCTATAATTTGTTTTTATTTACAAGCACTTGATGCCGTTATGCGTTGTGAACTGTGCGTTGTGTCATACCATACATTTGTTTTTTTTTTTTGTTGTTGTCGTTGCACAAATTATATATAATTTTCAAAATGACGATGCCAAGTGAATGTTGTGTGACCACATTTAGTGTTGCATCAGGGGCAATGACAATGGCCATGAGAAATTATTACTGTACTATGACTACGATGGCAATTGAATGTTACAGATATACCTTGTAAATGTATTTATTGCATGTTTATATTTATTTCGGTTCTATTTTTTTTTTCTTTTTGTGTGGCAACTATAGGCACCAGAAGTAATGGAACAAGATCACGGTTACGATTTTAAAGCCGATATTTGGTCATCGGGAATAACAGCAATTGAAATGGCAACAGGAACGGCACCTTATCATAAATATCCGCCAATGAAAGTTCTTATGTTAACATTGCAAAATGATCCGCCAACCATTGATACTGGAGCTGATGAAAAGGATCAATACAAAGCATATGGTAAAACATTTCGTAAAATGATTGCTGAGTGCCTACAAAAAGAGCCATCAAAGCGGCCCACGGCCAGCGAACTGTTAAAGCATCCATTTTTTAAAAAGTCAAAAGATCGCAAATATCTAACACAAACGTTGCTGGCATCGGGCCCATCAATGGAAACACGCGTAAGTAAAGCGGCCAAACGACAACCGGGCGCATCTGGTCGATTACATCGAACCATAACGGGTGAATGGGTGTGGTCGAGTGAAGAAGAAGACAACGGTCAACATTCATCGGATTCAGAAGACGAAGAAAATCGACCAATGAATCGTTTAATCAAAGTTGAATCGTCGGACAGTGAAGTTGATGATCCGTCTGAGTTAACGATTGCACCCGGTGGTGTACCATTGCATAATTCATCGGATATTCCACCAATTAATCTTGTACTAAGGATGCGCAATCAAAAAAGTGAACTGCACGATATTCGCTTTGAATTTGCGGTTGGAAAAGATACAGCCGACGGTATTGCATCTGAATTAGTTGAAGCTGGACTAGTTGATGGACGTGATACGGCCGTGATGGCAGTGAATTTACAAAAATTAATTGATAATCGAAATCACTTAAAGACTGTTACATTTTTGTTGGTGTCAGCATACGTACCCGGAGAGCCAGTTGATGAAAAAGCGTTAATATGCTACGCGCAAATATCAATTACCGACTAAATTTTCACATACACAAACAACCCCAAAAACCTACACACCTCCCACCCTCACACACACACACACACACACACCACAACACAAATTTGGCACACGACGACTCCTACTAATGTCGATTATATTCAGCTTAGCCTTTCTTCACGCAAAATATTTTCTTACTTATTCTTTTTATGTTCGTGCATCAACAAACGACATTCAATGCACCAGATATATACAGATTCACATGGGTAGGACAGGACCCCTTGCCAAATTGAGAAAACAATTTTATTACATATGCAAATATTGTAATCGTTTCCTTCTTTCTAGCAAATTTAAGCGAAGGATAATTTTTTTTTTTTTTTTTGAAATAGATATAGTATGTAACGATTGTAAATTGATTGATTCATTAAATAGTCTAGGACCAAGATAAGTTTATAACGAATGATGTTGTTGTTATTATTGTTGCATTACCCCTTTCATATGATAGATATATACATATGTGTTCAACCACTTCCAACTTGTATTGAACACTCTAACGAAGCGTTTTTGAAGCGTTCACTATGCATATATTGGCGCCGAATGGTTATGGTGGTGACATGTTGCTTCCTGGAAAATTGTAAAATCACTTTACGCACAGTCTTCATGTACTGAATCAACAATTCGATAAATGTCCACTTATCATACGGTAACGGTTGGAATAAAGAAACCTTTATTAAATATTTAGAATGACAAATTATTGATTGCAGTTTTATTGAATATTTTGATTTTCAATTTTATTTATTTTTCAATCACGTATAATACACACAAACACATATATTTTTTTTAATATAAACCCTTTAACGTCATCGATAAATATTTTGCGAAAAAAAATAATCTCTCTCCCTTATCTACCAATTCTTCATATTCAATTGCAATGACAATGTATGGAACTCATTTATGTACAGTTTTTTTAATCATTTATGCATGAATCGAGCTAATTCTTTTCAATTATTACAGGCTTGTTATGGATTAATATAAAATAATACACATCATAAACATAGCCATAATGTTAATTCAAAAACAGAGAAAGAAAATGATTCATTTTGTTTTAATTGCAAGCAACAACTATAATTGTGGTCAATAAATTGAATGTCTCGTGTGTGATTTTCCTGAATGAGTTGAACATAAAAAATGGAGAGAACCGTTTTCGAATCTTTATTGACACTAAAAATTGATAAATAAATCAAAAAATCACAATTATATACAATTTTCTATAAATTATATGCATATCTTTATGCATACTTATGTACAAATTCATTTTATGAGAGCGTTTCGATGAGAGACAAAGTGAAAGTAAAGTGAATTTACTGGTGTTTGTTCATATTCTTAAATATGCAAACAAAACATTGATTCGTGTTGTTGTTATTTTTGGTCTGAACGTAGCTGGACTCAATTTTGATCGTTTTCGTCATTACCTCTTATGAATAATGGTACACTTTATGCTCAAAGCATAATTCATTTGCATAAAATTATTATAGCTATTGTGTCGGATGCCATTTGGATGAAAAATTCCATATGAAGAACCAAAGTGATTCTTTCATGAATATTATATATTTTACCATGGTTTTTTGAATACATCAATTATTTGTGCAGTAAAACTGAATCCAGCATATTTATTAGCATTTTCCTTTTGTTACTATTTATATATATATTTTGTTTTTCGCTCACTGTCATTTGAATCAATTTACTAAACTAAACTTAAAAGAAAGGACTCATAAAATTACACTCTAGCATTCGTATTTAAAATGTGATATATATTGTTTTATTTTTATCATTTTCAGAAAATAAATTAGAAAAGAAAACATTATAATCATTTGTCACTTATCGTCGACTTCAACCTCCACGGACCAAGTGTCCAGAAGATCCATCTGAACGAATTTCAATAACTTCCGCCCGTTCACTCTCCACGTGAAACTTCGGTGGCGGTGGCAATGGTGGAAGCAGTGGCGGTATAAATGTTGTTGTTTGATAGTAATTTCGATAATCGGGTGTAGTTGGTTCCGTGTCAGATGTTATGATTATGGAATTTTCCTGATAAATTCATATAAGATTAGTAATTTTGAATGAATGAGTCAAACTTTTTGAATATTCATCAAATAACCGAAATCGAATAGTAACGAAATCATCACTCACTGTTGTGGTTGTTTGCATTGAATCGGTTTCACCCATTAGTGTTATGTCTTCAGTTGATGTTGTATCGATATCAGTTTCGATATCCTCATTGTTGTTCACTCGATTCCGCGTTCTTTCATGTTGCATTTTTTCTTCCATTTCTTGATATTTTATGGCTAGATATCTACTCAAAACGATGGTTGAAAAAAAAAAGTAATTCAAGATTTGGTTTCAAAAAGAAAAAAGACCGTGGAGCTTTACTTACTTATCGACTAAAGGTCCGCTATAGTCTTCGGGGAATTTTGGATTCAGTGGTAAAATATATTTATATAATCTTTCATTGAGAACATAAAGCTGCGCTGTTGAAGAACATTTCACGTTAAACCACCAATCACACGTCAATAGCACCTGATGAATTATTATTTGTGATTAGTAAATCGGCCTTAAAATAAGACATCAACATCAATACATACTTGATTGAAAATCGTGCCATTTGGACAGAGAAATGATGCTTGACCACCATTCAAATCACAGTAGTGCCAAACCTGACAACTTGTATCTGGGTCACCAAAAAATCCCTTATACCTTTGTTCTGAACAATTGAAACTTGTCTTTGGTATCACGGAAAAAACCGGAAAATCTACGCCCGGTTCACCTAATAATTTATACGAAATGAATCAATCACCATTTACGATTCAGTCTGAATGAATTTAAAGAAGATTTTGAAATACTGCTGGAATTATTGCAACAATCAATCATTTGTCTACATGATCTCAACCCCATGAGGTGATCTCAAAATTTGTTGACTGTAGTGTATGCGGTAATTTCAACTTGAAAATGTTCAACCACAAAAAGATAAAAAAAAAAGTATATTAATCAATGATAAATATTGCTGTACCTGACTGTGGTCCAGGGGCTGAAAATAAAAACAAATAGATTTAAAAAAATTGAAATATACACATATAAATAGAACTGCTCACCTTCATTGCTTTGGAGTGGGTATATCGGTTGCAAATTTTCAAATGTGTCTTTAATGGGTTGATGTTTTGGTGGATACCGTACCGGATATAATGGTGAATGTTGATCATTTTGAATGGGTTTTTGGGTCTTTTTTAAATCGCTCAACACTTTTGTAAGGGTTCTCAATGAATTGTCCAGTTTATTCATTGTAAATGTTTTTGGCAAGTAATTATTTTCTTTTAATTTTGTTAGCAGCAATTGAAGTGAAGTTTTATTCATATTATAGAGAATATCGTGTAATGGTTTTGGACTTGATGTGGTTGAAATCAAGTTACCGTATGCGATCGGTTTAATTTCAATTGTCGATTGATTTTGATTTGTCTGAAGACCAATTGGTGTGGTTTCCGTCAAATGTTGATGAGTATTTTTGTATGATTCGTATGACACAGGTTCGAAAGCGTTAATAGTCGGTTCGGGTTTATAATTGTACTCATTATTCACCGGTTTAGCGGTTGGTTTCTGTAAATAGGATGAATGCACCGTCGACTGAATGTGCGGCACACTTTTATAATCTTTTGTATAGTAAGATTCATATGGAAGAAGTACTCGGCCACCATAACCATCGTCTGGATCTATGTCATAGCTGTAAAATTGTGCAAAATGTCAAATGAAAGCCAAATATTTGCATAGAAAAACGCAATGTTTTTACTTGATTTTCGTTGCTTTTGTCGTTTGTATATTCTTTGCGAATTGTTTGTAACGTTGTTGTGCACGTTGTGGATAATTCATTTTTATTACTGATTTGTGGTCGTTAATCTCCGATTTTAAAATTGGTTTTATTAGATATACTTGTTGTACTGAATTATCATCAATGCCATTGTTTGTGATTGGTTGTTCGGTTGATGATGTTGATGATGCCACATAATACGCCTGAATATGTGACTATAATTAAAATGTAATATTGTTTGATTGATTATTTTTTATATTACAATTTTTTTTCATGAAAATTATTCTTTTACCTCTGGTCGTAGCTGATGTGTATTTGTAACTGCTAACGGTATTGATTCTTTTAAAACTGGACTTTTATTTGAGTATTTTATACGGTTCGGTCGATTTAATGTATTTGGAAAATCATGTGTATAATTTTTCGGTGAAATAATCGGTCGAAATGGGCCGGGCACTTGATTAGATGGCAAAAATGGTGTGAGATTTTCTCCATTTTCATTTGAATAAGCAGCCGGACGAATTAACTGCGTTCCTGCCTGCAAAAATGTTTTCATTAAAAAAAAAGCGACGAGCATTTGTTATGATTATTTTTTTTATTTATTCATTTGAAGGCAATTTGAGACATCATGAAATGTTGAAATATTACGCAATGCATTTTATCGGCGACAACTTTATGGAATGAAGATGTTCAGCTTCGAGGGTATGCATAAAAGTTGCAATAAAAAAAATATATCCATTGCGCAAAATTGCAGTAACGCATAGTATGCCAAACTGTATGACTGGCAATATTTTTGTGGAAAAACCAAGTGTTGTTGTTTTTCTCATCAGAAAAAAAAGCCAAAAATTTACAAATTAAGGTGTGGCTGCACACTTTTTTTTCGTCACTTTTGCGATGAAAATAAAAATACTCATACAAATATGAAAGTCGGTTTCGGGTTTGTGACTTACCTCATTGTTATAAACATCACTATTTAATTGATACGATTGTTGTGGTACGACTACATCGACTAAAGGTGTTACATACGTATTTTTTGTTATCGGTTGTGATTGTTTGAGCTTGTTTTTAATTTTGTCATCAACATAAGTTGGCTTTCTCTGTATCGCCGCCCCAGCTGATGGCAAATACAAATGCTGTGCATTGTAATTTGTTGGTATCGTTGCCGATTCATGATAAATATATGGATTCTGCAAAATGATTTGATTCAAATGTTATAAATTTGATGAGAGAATTGATGTCATGGAAATGCATTTTGAAGTTTTGTGTTTGATATTGTTTAATCTATTTTGTTATCAGTAAACTTATCACGCGAACAAAGTTTAAATAGAGCAAACAAATAAACCAAACATACAACATATCTATATGTAGACATCGTGTGCATATTTCAATACTACTATTTTAACATGGAATGTAATTTTGTTATTTGCAGACGATTTTGTTGTAAACTTTGAAGCGTTTTATGTGTGATGTACAATTCGATGGTTTTCGAAAATGGAAATGTATTCATCATCGCATTAGCTATGATGCAAAATATATGTGAATTGTTGAATATCATGAACTTGGTCTTCGATAGTTTCAGTTGTGGCTTCATTTGATTTGGTTAATATTTATTTCTCATTCTATCATTACCATGGGTTTATTGATGGGCCGATATGGAGATGTAGGAAGATAGTCTCTGCTTGATGTTGGAATGTAAAATGTCATATAGGGTATTAAGCGGCGAATTCGTTCCGCCGAGTCAATACGCTGGCTATTCCACTTGAAATGCAAACCATTTTCGGTAGTGGACGTCTGATTAGTATGTTTATCGCTATGAAAATTTGACATTGATGCGACAATAATTATATTCGAACCTTTAATAGAAAAAAAGAATTGTTTTTAAAAATAAAATATGAATTGTGAAATATTTCGAGCATGAGTTCAAAATCAAAAAAAAAAAAAAAAAAAAAAATTAGCAAATAAATAGAAAGCCTAACAATGACAAAAATCACGATGAATGCAGAAAGCACTCTACTATACATAGAGTTTCTGGTCGTGACGCACGACACATCGCTATGTGGGTGGGTGTGTGTGTGTGTTTGTACCCAACTTTTATAGTGATTTAATTTCTATAGATTTGTGTAAATTTAATCGGATAAATTTCATAAAAATTCATACCAGAAGCACAAAATGTGAATACATTTGCAGAAATATTGAAAATGTGTGCATGCAAAAAGCCTTAGGATATTAAATCGTTCGTTTTTCGTTGCGTATCACTGCACTATGTACAAACAATACAGTTGATTGTCCACCATATTCAGTATGCCTTCAGGAAATGAATGTCAGTTAAGGCTTTTGAATGTTACATATACTGCACATACATGCCACTTGCACATAGAAAATGTAAAAGAACCCTTCGTACTAATTTGGAATTGTTTTTCTCTACCGTGGCCGGCTTTGATTAGATATCGCCAATTGCGCACAAACATTTGTTTAATATAATCAAGTTGACTTAGGTTATAATATCAAGTAAAAAAATCATAGAATGCAATAAATGAAAAAAATCAGTCCAAAAAGAATAACCAAATCAAAAAGACGCGTTTCAGTGTTTCTAAATGGTTTATCTGAATTCACTCTTTACAACCATCAACATTGCCCGCAAGAGATCAGCTCGGGGGATTTTAAAAGTGAGCAGCTCTTTATTGAGTGATTCATAATTGGCTCGATGTTAACCACCGGAACAAAAATTCAAAATAAAGAAATGTATATTTTTGAAAATGCGAGAGAAAAAATGGTATTGATTGTCATTCGTTTCAGTAGTACAATGAATTTGTTTGGAAATTGTTTGTTCCATTATTAATAATTTAGTTGTTATCCGTGTGTGAGATGCGAACGTGACTCAAATGAAAATAAAAACATAGTGAGCTAAGCCGGCTTTTGGATTCGAATTCAAATCATGAACCACACACATACAAAAGAAAGTATACAAATATTGGTATGATATTACGTTGACACCGGTGAAATGGCATCAACGGTACTACCCATTCTAATTCTGTAGAATTTCATGTCAAACAAAACCCACCCGCAAAAACGAAATCTAATAATTGTTCACGTAGCTAGATATTTTTTTAGCTAGATCTTCTCCATCTTGTTGTTCTCTCTGCTCTGTGTGTTTTTATGTTCTTTGGTGCACTTTTCCAGAATTCGAGAAACAAATTTTTAATTAATATGTCATTCGTATAAACCAAATTTGTCATGGTCGAGAAATTGATTTTTATTACTCTGAGGTTGCCAGGATGTTTTTAATCCAATATAAACATTGCATTCCGAATTTTGGGCTGATATAATGCCGTATATCGTACAGTTCATTAATTAAATACATCATAAAACAATGTATTTGTGCAAAAATAAGTACTTCTTACCACTCTAATATGAGACAAAGACAATTAGAGCAAGAGTGATAGTTTGTGTGCATATCTTTATAATAGAGAAAGAGAGAAAGATGGGCATTTTCACAATTCGATTTTTGTACATAACATTTTCTGTGTTATACAGGGTGTATCCAAAATGTGACTGAAAAAATAAATAATAAAAAAACTAATAAAAACACAAATAACTCTTTATTTCTTTTAAAATTTTGATCGATTTTTGTACATTTGTTCAAGTCACGTACGGTTTGGAGCAAATTTAAGCACTTTTTTGCATGTGAAACTTCCTTTTGAACCTTTTAAAGTATGCAAACTTGTGATGTTTCACCTGTGCCTGTAGCTGAACAGGTGCCCATAACCCTCGCTTCCAATATTGAGTAACGTAACAAGTCTACATCTTTAGCTTTTCACCCACTTAAGATAATTTTATTCAGATCCGAAGTTTCGATATACATATAAATGTTATGACGCTAAAGAAAATTATACTCAAAAACGTATCAAATTAGGCAAGGCGAAAATCGCGAAATTTCATCAGAAGTCAACTAGGAAAAATGGCCATTAAAAAGTATATTTTTGTAAGTGAATTATCTGCGTTTCCATTTGATTATCACTACTCTATTTTGTGACACACTGTGATTATTCGACATGTGAAATATTCACTTGCAATGAACCTTATTGATTATGGACATAGAGTTTTTCTCATGCTATTCACGTCAGACCACAATGTCATTGTATTTGTGATTTGATTGAGTTTGAAATGTGGAAGCATTCCTGAACTGTAGCAAAACACCATATGTTTATATGTATGCACTTTTGATAACAGGACTTAATGTAAACTTTTTTGAAACGAAGAAACACATCTAACAATATTGGCTTTAGAAAATGAACTTTGAAAAATGGCCACGTTGAAAACAATCCATAGTACATTTCCGGAAAAGAAACTTTTATACATTATTGTACACATCTGGCTTGCAGCCAGATTCATTTGAAGAAGAAAAAAATCAACCATGACAAAACAACAGTCTGATATTTACAGGTTTTTCTCCTGAAATGTCCGGCAATGTTTCACTCCATTATCCACAATATTAAAATTGCAATGAAACCAAATTGACACATTCTAGTGAACTGCATTGATACGATGCCATATTGAAACGTGATGAAATGCGGTATTTTATTTTCAGCTTTGCTTGAATGTAACGGACAACTGTAAATCATTTGCATTTGTTGTTTACTCAAAAAAAAAAAAAAACAATGAATCTATCATGAATAATGCAGTTTGTTGATTTCGCTCGCCACTTTCAGTGGTGGTTTTTTGTCAATGTTTGAGAGTTCGGGATATTTATAAAAATGTTTTTTGTGTATTTTGATAATTGATGGCACATTTCAACATATTATCAATGATGTTTAGATGTCCGTGCACATATCAAATTGGCAATCATGAGAATTTGATGTCTGTATCGGATATATCGTCAATACAATGTTTTAATTTAATTACAATTGACGGTAATCAGTCAGAATATGTTGGTTCGTGTACATATGTTATATATGTAATGTTAAATTGGTCCCGGAATTTAGATAAAGAAACTAAAACCAAACTTCCTAAGTATTCCTAAGTCTACGCCACACCAATGTTTGATTTCGATAAAGAGATAATACTTGTGACATTTTACATGCAGCCATGATGCAGTCGTCATAGTGAATATGAATCAAATGGTGACACCTTCTCATCACCTTCTTTATTATTATGATGACAACGAGAGCGTCGTACCGAAAGTGAGACAAGTGAAGAAGTGTTACCAAATACCAAATATACCATTCATTTGGGCTGATATATATAAATGTATATATGTATCGTCAATATTGATGTTGACTGTTGACTATTAACTATTGCCATCAATGTCCGTTCTCTTTGTTATTCTGTTTAAAAGGCCAATTCATGATGAAGTATTTGAGAGGAATGGCTTCTTTTGTTATACCACATAACGCCGTATCGTTTGATACACGAATACCATTGATGAATACGCGACGAAAACAGCACCGATGACTTCATAGGGGAATTATGTGCAGTATTTGTATGCAACGATGTACACAGAATGAATGAATTCAAAGTGAACTTCACAAATGATGAGAAAATGGAGAATGCAACACAATCGATTCAAAGTAAACATAATATATGAATATATATGCGTTCATTATTTCCATACATTGTTCTAATAGTTTTCCATAATTAATCTTTAGCAGATCAGCATTGTCTCCGGGCAATAAATATAGCAATAACAATGATAACAATGCGAAAATTGCGTACATATTGATATTTGTTAACGCAAAATCGCATGTACAATTGTACAAACACAAGCACGCATATGGAATATTTTCACCGATCCACAGATTTAACTGTATTTGCTTATTTGATGCTTCAAACGTACATATTTATGACGGCTTTCAATCGGATATATTAACGCAAACCGATAAATATTTGACAATCACAAATTGAAATTCGCTTCTATCATTTTTTGTTGTTGTTGTTATTGTTTTATTTCAAATCAAAAAATACTAATAATAATAAGCATATCACGTTATTAACGCAAATTGTTCAGCATACCATGCAATAATTACACATAATGTGTCGAAAGCCTGTTGATTTGAAAATTTATTATACGATTATCATGTTTTTGTTAGTTTTTACAAGGATTTGACTATAGTAATTTGATGCCAAAACTGCTCGAAATTTTATCACAATAAATTCATATGCAATGCATTTACGCATATACGGATAAGTTTTTGTGGGGTTTTGCTGTTATAACAACACTGATTATTACCTAATAAATGAAGTGTACATTCAAAGAATGTTTGCAAAGAATTTTTCAATTTCATTACCATTGGGGGCTGTTCTTCGTGGAACGTTGTATTCAGAATTTTCAAAACGATTGCCAAATCGTACACAACAGCAACAACAACAACAACAACAGTCGCACAACAATAACATACAGACCCACAGATACACACACACATACCAGATGAACAAAAAAAAAGAATGAAGTACATACAAAACGTAAATTTTAGTTTTATGATACAATTGTTTCATGCATATTTTGGTGAATGATTTGTACATATTCAAAATGCATAAAGGGCAAACCAAATCGTATGCTTGTTCAATATGCTCTAACCATGCGCACCATCAAAAATTCTTTACGATACAAACTTTGTGTGAGATAACCATGTTCGGTGTGCACGTCAGTAATCAGTAGTCCAAGCAGATAGCAAATCCAATCAACGCATTCAAATAGATAGTATATTGCATTTACCATTCCAAAAATAAATTCTTGTGTCAAAGATTTTTGCCAAAGATTAAAATATACGATTTTGATTCTAGACTGTTATTGGATCGATATACATAAAATCTATATATCACTTTCCAAAGAATCACATTTGAAATCGGAAAATAAAAACCAATTTTATGTTTTATGCCAAACAAATTTGTCCACGGTTATCGTTCATATCGGAATATTTTTCACATGTCATCGAAAGACTATTCTGAGATATTGAAGTGACAGGCATGGTTTGTATGCACCTTTTTTTATCAACTTTTAAACAAAAACAAAAATCTCTCACACATAACAGAAATACAATATTGGATTTCGTCATGTGAGACTTTTTTTTTCGGTGGCATTACATTATTCTTTTTCAACGAAGAATAGAAACATTTTATTCCCAACCATTTGATGATTGTCTGACATGTGAAAATTGCTTTAATTTTCATTTCATTCTGACATAGTATTTACATTTAGTGCTTTTAGTAGTAAAGTTTCTGCTTTTCTGATTGTTTAACCATTTTTTTTTTACAGAAAATTGACAAAACAATTGACACAAAACTAACGAATACAAAAACCCATTACCACCGCTTGCAATCAACGACAAAAAAATGCAACTTATTTGAGAAATTGACCAATTGTTACATGATCAACAAATTTAGAGATATTTTTTTCTACGTATTTTGTGGATATAATATAATTAATTAAATTTAGAAAGACATACCTATGAAGAGCATGTACATTTTCATTATGCTGAACATGTTTTGTTCTATAACTCTTTCTGTCTCGATCAATTGTTGTTATTTTATTTTGTTCTATAAAGCACTGAATCAATGGCAGGTAAAAGAGCTAAAAGAACGTTTGCGATGGATATAACGATGCTTCAGACGATTGAATCAAACAAAACGATGCTTTGATGATGTTATTGATGACACTGTGCTATCAAACGAAATAATTGTAATGGCTAAAAAGTACATTTTCCGTTGTATTTTCAATGCCGAAATGCATCAATAAGTGTAATGTATGCACCTATGTTATGAATTCAATTTATCAGTGAATGTACTCTATTTTTATCATCATTTGATTGTCTTTACAACAAATAAATTATTAATAATAATAGATTAGTGACGCGAAAGTAAAACGTTTATTGTAATAAATGTTCACGATATATATTTCTGTTTTTGAACACACTTTGATAACGTTTTTTTTCTATTTGACATCCAATGCAAATGTTTATCGCCTATTTAACATTGTTTTATTTGATCGGCTTCGTTATTGTTACCACTATTGAAATACAATGTGTAGGCAAATTCACGTTTCTGATTCAAATGTAATTGATTTTATCAGCGCATCGTAGTCTTTTTTTTTCACAGGTAATTTGCGGTCATTTAAGTTCACGCACTCTAATCTCAAACGTGTTTTCTATTTTAATGATTTTACTCTCGCTAGCACGTTGGTAAATACAAATTGTTTGTGTTTGATATATAATAGCGCTCGGCAGAAAAAAAAAGTAAATTAATTCCACAATTGAAACACAGTAGACTACTTTGTGCAGTTTCGATAAAAAAAACCGTATGCTGTCTTACATCTTTTACATATTAGACATCTGTTGTAGTCAATATGCTGAACCAACATCTTCGATGGTTTTCTTGAAACTGTAACATTGCGTTAAAAAATGAAAGTCTATAAGTCAAGTAAAAAGAAAACGAAACAACACAAAAAAACTGTACGCGCTGCTTACTTGGAAGCTGAGTGTTTTTGTTCGCAGAACATGTTCACATACGTATGCATTTTGCTACATACAGGCGCGACAAACTCATACATGTGACCAAACTTTCGTGCACCCAAGAGATAATGGCTTTTTTTCACTTCTTATTATAACCATTCGCGCCTAAGAAAATTCACTTTTTTTTCTACCTCAATTATAAATTGAGCATATTCAATGCATCCAAATGACTTTCATACACATCGATGTGATAAGAACATGTTGGCAAATCAAACATAGATAAGAACTTGCTAAATTTTAACATGGGCGGTAAGTTTTCATTGCGATTGTCTAGAGGAAGCATCTATGATAATAAAAACTGATTCACCATTTCATCATCGGATGCATTCAATTTCCGCGTTTCAAATTAAACGTGATTACATCTTGATGCATAATTATATTTTATGTTTTTTTTTTGTTTCTGCTGCGATTGAGTTTATTTTACGGATAAAAATGAAGATTGCACACATTTTAATTGAATGCAATGTGAACTTGCAGTTAATGTGAATGTATAAACGTGTAAAAAAATTTATGTGATATAAAATCATGGTGTTATCACATTTTGTTGTTGTTGGTGTTGTTGTTTTTGTTGGGCGAAATGAAATTCGACCAACGGTAATATCTTTTCTTTCAACAAATTATAAGAAAGCCCCATAAAAATATTGACCACTGTAGTGTCTTATGCATTTTATCAAGTGCAAGTATACATTGTACACATACGTGTCAACGGTACTTTATATCGTTATTGGTGAGATAAGTAGAGAAACCATACTTCGTGATCTCGGTGTTACAGTAACCGTCGGTACAGTTGAAGATCAAGCAAAAGAAGTGATTTGTTTTTGAACTGGTATATATGCTTTTTATTACTTAAGCAAAGACCATTGGCATCGATGACTCGTTTCATACTTGTCAGTCTCTCTCTCTATCTCTTGAGTTCATGTGAAAATCCTTCAAATCATATGATGAAGTATTTGGATAAGATATACATTAATATGACTTTGAAACAGAATCGACAAAATACGTTCGAGATGAACGCATTTCAATTCAATGTTATACATTTTTCTTCACATTTTTTCTTTTATAAAAATAATATGTGTGTGTGGACAATTGATTCTTAGTAAATACCATTTAATTTTCATATAATACTATAAAATTAGTGGACGAAAATCGGTTTAAATTCAAATGAATTGCGTAATATTTGAATTTTTCTTCGTGCCCGAACCATACGAAAACATAAAAGAAGAAGAAGAAAAAAAAAACAATTTATAACAGATGGCCTTTCTGAGCACCGTTGAAATTTACGAGCAGATAGTTGAAAAAAGTGATTGATGTCAATTATAAGCAATGATTTACGTTTTAAATGCGTCATAATTGTGTTCGTTGCGGAGACAGCATAATTTTATGAAATTTTCACACCAAATTCATAAAATTATCGAAATATGAATGTAAAGTCGCTGAATTTATAATTGCTATCTATGTACGTTGAGGTAAATTGCTATGTACGTTCGCACACCAATGCAATATAAGCCACAAACACTGTATTCGGGAATATTTTCTCAAAATAAAGTAAAGTTTCTTTCTTTATTTTATTTTTTTTTTTTCATGTTTGTCATAGACTTTTATTAGCGGACATAGTGCAATTTTTGAAAGCATAGCAATGTCGAAAACCTATTTCTGTTTTACATTAAAACAGTCCATGATTTATCACACCAAAGTGAAAGAAAACGAATGATTTTTCTCTCGTCTTTGTAATTATAATTAAATGTGCTCAAACCCTGGAAAGCGGAACTGCGCAAAGCCATGAAACAAAAAAAAAAAAAAATACCAACTCAAAAATGGAAACGAACAGATTCAAAAGTGTAAGGTAAAAACCTTGTTAAAAGTTCACAGCATAGCAGAACACTTTCTTTGATCTTCATTTTTCATCATAGAAAATTTTTGTGCCAAGTGTATGTGCCATGGCAGTTACCGTACTCTTTTTATCATTATTAAGTCTATGATGCGATTTACTACTTTCTCTCTTTCTTTCTTTCTTTTGCTTAATTTATCCATGCGTGTATGAATGCGTACCTTTTCATCAATGCTTTTAGCGGTATTCGGCTGCATTTTTAGACAAAAGATATGCGGAGGCGCTTTATTGCTTTTATCAATACCTACTCAGTCAGATTGAAGAATGCATGCTGAAAGTGATTTTAATTCGTCTCTGTGTCTTATAGGGTCTTTAAAATGTCTACTGTAATAACTCATAAATAATGATGTGTCTTCCAATAAATTACTTAGATTCGATTCAATAAAAAAACCAAATAAAAGAAAACTAGAACGGATTTTGATATAGTAACAATACTATAGTAAATGGTCATAAATATCGATCGAAGAAAACAAAACAAAACACACAAAAGACAGTTGTGATGATGCGGATTTTGAATTTTTATACTATGTTTATCTGCGAACTATAGGAAACAGAGATTTAATGAGCGTTCGATTAAAGTACCGATTGGTCCATTCAAACATGACAAAAAGTTTCGGATATCGGTGAACGAATGAAACAAAGCGTCTTTTTGTACGGATTGAATTGGCAGATATACTTCCAAAAAAAAAAACATAAAGGCACAATGACATACTCAAACCCATAAAAAAAACTCGCTAAATGTCGACTGACTGTGATGTATTTGTTAAATGCATGCTTTTAACATTTTTGGAAAATAGATCAGAGAAAGAACGATTATGGAATATATTTATTCAGTCACTTCAATCGTCAACACAATCATTTTAAATGTCAAACTATCTAGATTGATATGGTGTAAAATAGCATAAGTGGGAAATAAGTGTTGGCAAGTGAAATTACAGTATTTTAGCGTAGAATTTAAAATGATACGGTTCGCGTGTGTTTGAGTTTTTGTTAGTTTTTAGTTGCTTTTTCTCTCTCTCTCTCTCATCATTTCGTTGTTTATACGATACATGAACTTTTTTAACCTTGTTCAAAGCATTTTATTTTTGATTTTATGCTTAGCCTGAGACAAACCAAAAAGTGAAAGGAGAAACTGCCGCTGAACTACTGCGCACATAGATGAATGAATCTGACTGTAGTTGCAGCATTTTTTTTATTTATTTATTTGATACACGAAAAAATAAATAAATAAAACACAAACTAAATAGTATATTCCAACTTCATATACAAATTTATTTAAAATACAGTCATTTTAAATGACTCATTTTAAAATATGAGTCTATTGGAGGCAAGCGGTGTGTATGATGTGGTTGCATTGCATGCAATTTTCATGCAAATCTATATAGCTATTCTAATGAATAACCACGCAATACGCACTGTGATTAATGCAAGGTCAGCCATGGTGTTTACACTCGATTCGAATACTATCGCAATGTTTGTAGTTAAAATCGAAGGTGACAGTCACAACGTTCAATCTTAAGATAAACAAATCTTAACACAGCTCATGTGTGGAATCGGTGAAAGAAAGCAAAATTTGCCATAAAACATGAAAGTGGGAACAGATGCTATGCATTACAACGTGAAGAAAATAAAATGAAAATAATCAGAGAAAAAAAAAACACTTATTGACAAAAAGTTGATCACGTTGCAGTATTCTGTGTGTCTGTGTATGCGTAGTATGTATGTTGTTGTTTTTCATGCTTTTGTTTTACTTTGTTATTCTGTTTTTTTTTTTTTGTCTCACATACCATTGCACAAAGATTCTATTCAAATCGTAATGTTTTCGCGTGTAAATACAACCAGTCTAAATCGAATCTTATTTATTCGACCAAAAAAAAACTGTTTACTTTTCATTCAAATATATACATAGAATTTGAGATTGTATATTTTATGAGGATGGTAATTCAATTTTTCATTGAAAATAAAAAAAAAATCATTCGATAAAAAAGTATCAATTCTCTGGTCCGCAACCTTATAAATATAACAATGGGCCATTATTCTCATCATTAGATTCTTACAAATTGAATCTTTTGCTCGTTTTTGTTTTGTTATTCATGTCGAAAAATTGAGCAAGTTAAATTTGAAAAAAATTGAAACGTTCGTTGCCATATAAATGTGCGTTCGTTGCTTGGCTGCTCAATATGCAGGCTGCACAAGCAGAAATTCATTTGGTATACAATAATTATTGCATTAATGGCATACATAAAGCTACACTCAATTGTTGAAAATTGATTGACACTTGAAATATGCGAAGATCAAACATGTTCATATCAAATTCGATTCGAAAAACTTCTTTCATTTGGATGATTTTTTTTTTAATTATTATTTATTTTAATAAGCCGCCCAATTTGAACATATTAAAATACAACAAACTGACATTCGAAGCCCACTATATTTTTGGAGTGAACGAAAACCTATTGAAATATTTACAGTGCCGATTTTAATAATCCATCCCTTAAATAAGCAAAATGTTCAGCTTGTCACGTTACTCTACTCAAATCTCGATAGCTGGTTAAATATTTTACAATGGCCAAAAAAGTGGAATAGATTTCATATACAAATGGAATTGACACATCGATTGTTGTTGGTATGAATGGTATGAATTTGTTTGATTTCTGTTCAATTATTACTTGATTGTTTTAAAATGCTGTTCGTTATGTTGATGTTTTTGTTTGTAACCCCAAAGAAAATTAACAAACAAAAAGAAGAACATCAACTGCAAATTAAAAATTAATTTTTTGACGCATTTAATGTTTTGTTTGCGTTAAATTCGTTGAATTGTAGCATAATGAATTTGCACACAAAAAAAAAACACTTTGCAATTTTCATACAAACTCGTCATCGAACCACTTTGGCCTTTTCAATTGCCATTTATCCCCTTGTGAATGAGCGCATTTGTACATTTTTGTAAAAAAAAATACAAG